CTAGCAGCAAGGGCACCATACTGATGACTTAGAGCAGAAGGGCCATAGAAGGTTCATGTAGTTTGCCTGTTACTCAAAATTAAGAGTCTTTATCAATAATTGTAATTATTATTAAAGCATTATAGTAGCTCTTCTGGTAGAAGTTATTGCATAAAAGTAGTCCAATTTTGAAAACAAGTTTAACAAAGTGTACATTTTCCAAGAACCTATTGAAAATATTCACTAGTTACCAAGAAAAATAGATGTCAGTATAATTATTGTATGACCCGAAAATCTTATTTACTTTTATTAATTATCATAGTATATTTATTATGAAGCAAATGTGTTTAAACTTGCTGTATGAGTTGAATCAAAAATAAGAATATGAAAGATGATGAGAAATAAAAAAACTTTTTCTAATATTATAACAACACCATTATCTCATGAACTACTTCTATAGTTAAGTATGATGATTCATTTACTGAACATCATTTACATGTAATAGTGGTTTAAAACCAATTTCTAATGAAATAATCAACTACAACCAATACTTAATCTTTCCTTTGAGAAAGGAAAGTGTGATTTACAAAATATACGAGTATTTTGTATGTGAACTTTCTTATAACATATATAAGTAATCCTGTAAGCAGAGATTGTCATAAATGTGCAATCAAATCATTAGAAAAAAGGTACTTGCGATTTAATATCTTAATGTCTACGTCAATAATTTAAATGACAAAGGATGTTCTCATATAAATACTTTTCATAAATCAACAGAAAAATACAGTATATGTTCATTAAGATAAAAACAACAACAGACTTTTAACATGCTTACAGTAGTTTGTGTAGTGTTACATTTTCGAACTATAAAGTATTCTCATTGAGCTTAACGAATGTAATTACAATCACGTTTACCAACAAATGGTTTACATTACACTCTTCTCGATTAATTCATCGAGGATTTCAAATGAGAGATGTGTAAATATATCATTTTATATATCTTTATCCAGTATTAGAACTCATCAACTAGTGTTGTCCTACAGAAGCCAGAGGTATGTCTGGAACTATTTGTAGTCATTCAACCCTGCTATAGGAGGACAAACAAATATCGTTACAAACACAATTATAGCGGACAAGTTGAAAGTTTAACTTAAATGGTATTTCACCCATGGCCACATACCATCAAAAGTTCAACAAGTCTAGACACCAGAGATACCTACACCTCCTGGAACTGCATTTACAACAAACCTAATGTTTACAAACAACACTATAGTCATAAAATATACGAATTTATTCTAATATTTATTCAGCATTCCGTTAAATATAAAATGTTTTTTTACAGCATGAGTAATTAATGATCTTAATTGTTATATATTTATACCATAAACAAAAGAATCCTCTTGAAAGAGTTTTTACAATAAAATGTTGATGGTTTCATCCAATGGAATGAATCTACTCTAACCCAAAACTTGTTTGAGACTAAATTTAATACTCTTGCACTTTCATCTTTGCACTATTCTACTTCCTTATGTCTTTCTTTTTCCCTGAAAAAAGAATAATTTTAAGCACTAAAGGAGCTTTCACAAAATCCAAACATAATCATAAAATGCCTGGACAAAGAAAATCTCACATTATGAATACCCAAACATGAAATAGAATATTTGCAATAAATGACAGGATGTTTGAGATGTTTATTAATTAGTAGTTTAAGTTTTAGCATAACGAAATGAATATTTCAAAGCTTCTGGTGATTGTTATATGCATTTTTTATTTCAAGCAATAAAACAAAAACAGCTCAGACAAGTAGCACATTCCTCATATTTCCAGATATGTGCTGTGGGTCATCGCCAAGATAAATCTCGAAAACAATATTGATTATTGGTTAAACTTAGAATGAAATTATATTTTTCCATGTTCTATTCATGTGTTACCTTTTACATAGTAAAACTCTTTCTTTTCATTTTTCCAATAAAGAAATTTTGCAGCTTTTGGTGCTTTGTTTCAAATATTTCTGTAGGTATTATGTATAATCGATAATATTTGTTTCCTATGTTAATTTCCAACATGAAATAAATTTAAGTCAGGTTTGGCAGTAAGGGGGTTGCTTTTTGGAGCTGAAGCTACCCAAAAAATATGCCTTAGCCTCCCCTGTGGCTCTATCACCCCAAAAAAAAATGCTTAAAAAAAGTAGTTCCTTTCCTAAATACTACAACATGTGTACCCACAAAATGGAGAGTTAGATAAACGATTAGTCATTTAGTTTTAATCAGGCCCACTATAGTTTGCAGGTTTGACATCATTTTAATGATATGGTCAGTTTATGTTGTAGATACGTGTGGCCAGTGGACATAATTATGACCACCATCTGTGAAATAGGACTACAAATGTTGAGAATGGAAAATGCATTTTTAACTCCGGTGACCTGCTGGGTGTCTCTTGTCATTCAGGTAATTAATTGTATCAAGGATAAATATAATTTGAAACATTTTTGTGTAGTGTGTTATCAGTATCAAAAACACACATATGTAGATAGAATGAATGCCAAGAAATATGTATTCAAAAATTAAATGGGTAAGCTTCAGTATACTTCTGTTAAATACTCCATTTTTGGGGGGGGGGGGTATTTTTCTGTGCACAAAGCTAAAGGGGGTGTCACCTTTTTCTGTAGAAAAATCAAAAAGGAGTCACTATTCAGTAAGGGTAATTTTAGAAGTTCCGTTCGAGAAAAAATGACCACTCCTTTATGGTGATTGACTCTCGAGTCGATCTGTTGGGCACTAATGGTTTCTTTTTTAGTTGTACAAAATTCACTTTACTTGGCATGTATTAAATTCCAAATACAACAGAACCACAGGAAAAGTTAAATTTAGTATAAAGAAAAGAGAAATGAATGCTTTTGATTTAAGACTGTTTTCTTGTTAGATTAATGTTAGGGATTTTAATTTAGGGTTAACTCATGTATATCTTTAAATTTTATTTTAGTAAGCTAGCTAATTTAGTTTATTAAATAAACTTGTTTCTATGCTTGTACATGTACTAATCAACTTCAATTCCCTCTAAACCAGCTTGCTTATATCTGTCATACAAGTGAGATAACCATGATGGAATTACCATATAAATAAGTCTTTGGCCAATGATCAAAGGTCGAATATTTTGTAAAATAAAAATAGTAAACGATGATATCTGTAAAACAACAAAAATCCTAAATAAGATAATGCAAGTTCTAGTAAAACATGATTACATAAAAACAAACAAACAACAATGTATTCTGTTATCCAATTACATTACAGGCAACTACATATCTTTCATGTTAAAGCATTAGACACTGCATTCCTGTTTGTCCATGATTATGGCATCCCCTTTGTCTGCTGGTAATACTATTATGCTGCTGATTTTTTTCAAGCTTTTGAGGATATTTTTGTTGTTAAGGTGGTATTATAGGAGGGCTTATAGACTGCTGGTTATATATTTTTGTGGATTCTTCCGTTTCTTCTTCTGTAAACTGTCTTCTGTGGTTGTAGATACATCTACGAAGGCTATTATATTATGGTTTATGTTGAAATTTGGTCTTTTACACAAAATAAATACAATAAAATGTCTACCTTGGATACAGATATTGTCACATAAGACACTATAAATAAGATTCAATAACTCCTGAGCAGACAACATTCCACCACACAATTAACAATGGAAGCAGAAAAATTAACAAACTCCCATTCCTTGACATGATGGCTACAAACTAAATATCAAAACATATAATTCATATATCACAGGAGGTTGCAAGAAACCCACAGATACAGGTAAATACCTCGATCATAAATCAAACCATCTCAGTAGCATAAAGTCAGGCATTATAGACTACCTAGTTTCAAGACTGAACAAAATTTATAATAGAGAAGAAGCTAAGAAGATGGAAGAAAACACATCACTACAACCCCCAATAACAATGGATATCCAGTACCCTTGATAAAGAATAAAATAAATAAACTAAAACACCACAAATAAAGAGGATGAAAATTCCAGATAGAAGTCTTTTTGAAATCATCCAGAGAAAATCTGAACAACATAAAGTCAGAACAGTGTTAAGAAGCTACAGTACAATGTGATTGAAATAAGTACACACTAAACCAACTATAAATGCAATGGAGAGGTAAAACATTACTTACAACATGCTCTATCAATGTGGATTCCAATACACTGATACAAACAAAGATTAAAATTCTGGAGCATAACAGACATACAAAACTTGGTATTATCGACCGCTTTGGAAAAGCCAAAGCCTATTATGCCAGAGAAAAAGACCATATAATAAACTGGAATGATACTGAAGTAATAGGATATGATTCATACGTGAGAAAAAGAAAGATAAAAGAAGGCTTTTATGTCTACCCAACTGACAATACACTCAGCCAACCTAGCATAAAAGCAACAAATCTAGATATTCCTCTTGAAAACGTTCAAATAATTAGCTGATTCGAGTTTTAATGGCAGAGTGGGTTAAGTGACTAAGGGCCCTGAACTTCTATCAAGAATACTCAGGATCGAATCCCAGCCAGTTACAACACAGAAACCCTTCTTAAAACTTCTCTAAAGACAGGAGACGATCATCAGCTTAAACTTAAACGTAGGTTAAAAATTAGTTAGCAATTAGTATTTAGTTATGTAAAAAGTAACAATAAGATTAAATGTCACTAAATGATAACTAGGTTTAAGATATTGTATGGGATACCAACAAAGAAACTACTCAACTTTAAAACTTGAATAAAACTAAAAGTAAAAGCTCTCCTGAAACTGTACGAGTAAAACTGGATCACGTATCTTGATATTTAAATAAGTTAATAAATGATACTATTCTCATATAAACTACATCGTTAACAGTAAAGACAAGTTTTAGTAAAAAATTGAAATACTTGTATTATAAAATATATAAAAAGAACTGAAGTTCTTCGTGTAGTTTGTACGAACAAATTATAAAAGTACAAACGGTAATACCTTAAGGCTTAGGTAATAATAATACCTACCTTTTACGATGTTCTTCTGTACATCTCAGTGATGCTGCACCATCATCCTTTCGAAATAAATAACAAACAACATGACATCTGATATTAGATATTTATGATATATTGTGATAAATATAATGATAGAGTGCAAATTTAGTTGAATGACTATATCTTTGGGGTAATTTCTAATATTGACAAGTGAATTTTTCATTTCAGAAAAAGACAAAACTTTTAAAGTTCATGAAAAAACGTAACTTCGTTTAATTTGTATGGTAAATGTTAATTTTTATTAAATAACAAATAATACAAAAATCAAACTTCGTTGTGCTGTAATGAAAAGTTTTTACAGTAATTATTCTGAAACCAAGTAACATCTTAAATTTTCTTAAGGAAGCTCACTAACTTAAATATTAATGAGTAAACACACTGAATATAAATCATTTATAATCATCCTGCCTATTTATCTTTTGTAATAACTCTCCGAGTTACAAATATAAATAATTCTATCCACTGCTTTGTACTGGCTTTTCAACTGAATTCTTGTAAAATAAAAAACAAAAAACGAAAAGACTCTCAGACTTGTGTAAAGATACATGGATAAATTAACTACGAAACTCACTTATTCCATGTTCCAAAATAATATAAACAACTTGCTGATGTTCACTTCTTGGGATGAGCGTGGCCTTAGTGGTTAACATGTTGAACTGTGAATCCGAGGGTCCATGACTCGGGTCCCCTTGCCCCAAAATTGCACCCCGCTCTTTGGGTTCGTGGATGGTGTGTTATACTTGAAGAATGATAGTCAAATTCCATTATTCGATTAGCGTAAACCAAGAGGTGGCGGTAGGTGCTTTTTTACTACATGCCTTCCCTCTAGTCTATCAGTTCAAAATTAGGGACGGCTAGTGTAGATAGCCCATGAGTAGCTTTGCATGAATATCCGAAACAAATAAACAAACAAACAATTCACTTCTTTTGGTAAAATTAAACAATTTTTATCACGACATAATCACAACTAAGACTCTCGACTAGTTAATTTGTTTATACGGCTTCGACTGAACTTATAATAAATGATAAGCCTGATTCATTAAATCTATCGGTATTTGAATGCTAAAAAAGCCAGTAACTTATTAACTATTTATTAACTCTTTCCTTCTCTAATGTACGCAGATCCATGCAGAACCTGGGGTAAGAATATTTTGGGCCATCCATAATATCGAATTTCTCTATATTTATATAAGAAAGTTACAGTTTTGATGATTTAAGTTTGCTTAAAGTACTACTTTCAAACTCTTTAAATGTAGGTCAGTTACAATAACATTATAGTTATAAATAAAATAAAATAGCGTTTCCAATTATTGTTGACTCTTAGGAGTTACAACTGTGTATAGAAAAAGAAAAATATTAATTTTTTGTATCTCATTCTTACAAGTAGACCTTTTATGAGTTGGGTTTTGGTTTGTTTGGAATTTCGCGCAAAGCTACAGGAGAGCTATCTGCGCTAGCCGTCCCTAATATACCAGCGAAAGACTAGAGGGAAGGTAGCTAGTCATTACCACTCACCGCCAACTATTGGGCTACTCTTTTACCAACGAACAGTGGGATTGACCGCCTCATATAACGCCCCCACGGCTGAAATGGCGAGCATGTTTGGTATGACGGGAATTCGAACCCGCAACTCGCAGATTGCGAGTCAAGCGCCCTAGCCACCTGGCCATGCCACACACATTACGTGTTGGGTTAGGCAAGTTTCAAGGGCAACTGTCCCGGCTGCCTCACCTGTAAGTATGTATTCCACTCTATAATTTATTTCTAGAATTTTCTGTATGCTCTATATTGGTAACATTAAAATTAATTTCAGCGAAATTTGTTGTATAACAATAAGAAAGTTACATATCAGTCAAAAATTCAAACCATATGCAATAACTACTCTTTTTACTTCGGAACTGTTTATTATAAAAAGTAAAAAGTATCGAACATAGCTGATAAAGATAGATGGGTAAATAAAAAAAAAAACACGAACTGTTACGTAAACAAAATACCAACAGAGTGAATAATTTTTTTCCTATTAATGTCTTTTTTAATAAATGCGGTTAGCAGGATATTTATTTCGATCCTTCTTGTCCCCGATGGGAATACGTTAAGTTTACGGAATTACAACGCTACAATCTGGAGTTCGATTCCCTGCAGTGTGGCTTTGTTCTAAAACAAACGCTCTTTCTCGTTGCACACCAAGTTTAAAAAATTCAACATCTTTATGTTCGATGAAAGGAATGGTGGATGGGTCTTGGAATTATGGAACAGTGTTCGATAATTTTTAGTTGTAAACGGTTCCTCTATACGGTTTAAACGTCGAAAATCGGCGAAATATTGGAAAATCGATAGGCCTGAAAATTCTTATAACAATAAATTAACTGCAGATGTTTGTTTTTTACACATCTCTGATTTCGGAAAAATTAAAATAAATATGGAACAAAAAACATTTGTGGTTAACATGCTCATTCTTTGATTTAAACCCTACCATAATTATATATACAGGTCTTTTGAAAATTAATAATGTTCAACTACTTCCTTTAACAGTTAAAATCCAAGTTCAGAACCAAACTTACATCTAACTGTGCAGCACAGCAAAGCAATGTTAAATTTCCATACAAACACAATCCATAAGCTCCTGCGTCTCAAGATAGAAGAAACAATGATTGAACTCTAGATTATTGAACAATGTGTTGTCGGTAGTGTCCAAAGTAAACCAGATCTATAATTCTGATTTTACAAAGATTTAATATAGACATTAAGAACTATGATACTATACCAAAACGTGTCAACGTTAATCAGTGTGTGTTGCGTTTTCAGTTGTCTTTTACTTATCACGGTGAACCTGCATTTATATTAGGGCTGATACGATAGGTATCTAGTTATTGATGGCGCTATACGATACGTTTCTAGATACAGAAGTTTTACCAACGGTTTATTACAAATTTTGACAGTCTTGTCTGTAATTTATTAACTATATTACTAACATTGTCTTATTTAAGTACTTCACACTTTACAGTGCTTTTCAAAGGGCAATAAATCAATAAAATGTAATTAGAAACAGATGTATAATGTTAAGAGCTTTAAGTTATTTAGTGTAAGCAAATGTAGTTTCCTGCTATAATTTGAAGTAATTCTAGAAAGAACAAAAAGGATAATTTTGATTTATTTTGTATGTTTTTATGGTGGTTACGAAGCTGATCAAACTGACCAACTTCACATAAAATTAGGATAGTGAATATAGCAGATAAAATATCGATTTATCGAAAAAAGTTGGAAATTTATTTCGGAGGTTTTAGACATTACATAAAAAGAAACCTGTTAATTTTTAGACGGAGAAAAGTATTTTTTAATCTTAACATGAAAATTCCTTTACACTCAGAACAGTGACTACTTTGACTCCATATATTAAAGCATTAATTTTTAGTAAAAATACTTTATTAGAAATTCTTATTTTTTTCAGTACAAAAGGCTTATGATGTTTACTGGAAGCTTACCAAATTTCGTGAAGATACATAAATCGTGTCGTGTCGGACGATGTATCGATACAATCGTATCACGCATTTGTAAACTAAATGCATTGCACTGAACTCACAGTAAAAAAAAAAAGTTATATCTATCTATTAATATGCACCTTTTAAAATCTTTTCTTCTGCTTCTAGGTACACATTAGATACTTACTTATTTTAAACAAACACCTGACGTTAAATTTAAACATTTAAGAATAAGCTAGAGTGGTAACGATTCTCTAGGATGCTATCCTATACTTTAATGCTGATTCTCTAGAGGGCTAGGCCCGGAACGGCCAGGTGGTTAGAGCGCTTGACTCGCAATCTGAGGGTCGCGGGTTCGAATCCCCGTCCTACCAAACATTCTCGCCCTTTCAGCCGTAAGGGCGTTATAATTTGACGGTCAATCCCATTATTCGTTGGTAAAAGAATAGCCCAATGGCGATGGGTGGTGATAACTAGCTGCCTTCTCTCTAGTCTTTCACTGCTAAATTAGGGACGGCTAGCCCTAAGATAGCCCTCGTGCAGTTTTGCGCGAAATTAAAAAACAAACAAACTGTAAGGTGCTACTGTAATGCTGATTCTCTACGATGCTATCCTATACTGTAATGATATATTTTGGTCATCATCTTCAAGTACTAAAAGTCTTCCCATAATGCCTTAAGTTCGTAATTCACAAGTGCTTGTGCCACTAACATATTGGGGCGTTTTCTGTAGTGGCAGAAATTACATACTACTTCTAAATCACTATCTGGTAGAACTTTTATATACAGGTTTAATAGAGACTTGTTTCTTTTTAAACATTCACAGCCGTTACTAGCTACGAAGTCATATCCTCAGTTGTTTTATGGCCTTCTTCACTCTCCCTCCTAGTGGTATAGCGGTATGTCTGTGGACTTACACTGCTAGAAACCGGGTTTCGATAGTCGTGGTGGGCAGAGCACAGATAGCCCATTGTGTACCTTTTTGTTTAACTACAAATAAACACACACACACACACATATGTGTATATATATATCATTGAAAGTTATAGCTTAAACCCTGAATTTGACATCGATAGAATATTGGCTCTGGTTTCGGTAATGGCCACACAATGGGCTATATTATCTTTGCCCATCGCAGATATCGAGAATAATATTTTTGCGTTATAAGCCCTCTAGTTTACCGCTAAGCTAGGGAGCCATATGGTGTAAGATTATAGGAAATATAAATTCGAGTTGATTGGCGCCAAGAAAGCATTCGAGTAGATGTTTTCTTTCTTCGACCTAAGAATATCCTGGGACCAGGAGTTACATAGGGAAGACCTATTATATGAAACACAATATAGAGAAGAATGTATGTTTACTAGCCAATGATACCTTATTCTTGTTATGTAGCTTAAAGTTATGGATATAACGTTGTGTAATGTTATCGTAATATAATTATTTTAGTTTGTTCAATGTTTGCTTCTTTTTTACTTTCGCGCTAAGCTACACGAACGCTACCTGAGCTAGCCGTCTTAATTTTGAAGTAATAGACTAAAGAGAAGGAAGCTAGTCAACACCACACACCACCAACTCTTGGGATACCCTTTTACCAGCTAACAGAAGGATTGGCCTTTACGCTATAACGTACACGGGACTCAAAGGGCGAGCATGTTTGGGAACGGGATCCGAACCTGTAAACCTCAAATTGCAAGTCGAGTACCATCACCATCAGCATCACCATCACCATCACCACTGCTGAAATGGCGTGCATGTTTGGCGGGACGGGGGATTCGAACCCACGACCCTCAGATTGCGAGTAAAGCGCCCTAACCACCTGGCCATGCCAGGTCTATTCCCTAGTTTTGGTCCATAATAAATGTAGAGTATTAAATACTGTAACTGTGAAAGGAAATGGCTGGTACTGACTTCGACTTCAGTCATGTATTCAAAATATCCAAGTTCGACATACCGATGTTTGACACAATAAATAACTGAAGGAAGTAACCCAACTTTACACACAAAACTGCGAGAATTTCTAACGATTTGACAGTCGTGAAAAGGGTATCGGATATTGAATCAACTATAACAAAATAACAGAATAAATAGTAATGTTTTGAAATTATGTGCTGTGAGAAGAAATCTAAACACCAGTAAATATATATATATATTATTGTGACTATAACTTAAAATATCATCAGAAAAATTAATTACTAATTCTTCTGACTTTTTTTTTTCATAAGTATTTTTTGTCAAATACGAAAAAATACAAAATACAAACTAACCTCAGCATCCTGCCTTGAAGTAACATTTTCTCGTGGGCTTTCATTGTAATCAGTATTTTGTTTGGTCTCT